CCCCCCCTTTGGGTAGTCAATGTCCAAGTTGCCCATCCCTGTCTACTCTGTGTATGGAGGGGGTGGGAATGATCCTTGCTGTAAAGATTTGTTCCCTCTTTTGAGCTGCTGCAACCATAGGTGTAGGGTCAAGTTCAGCAAATTGTATCAGATTACTCTTTTTTTTCCTCTTCTAGTTGAGCTCTGATAATCCAGTCACTGAAATCAGGTCAGGTGGGTATTACCTGCAGGTGTGGGTGTTCTTGTGCATATGCCCTCTCTTCTTATTAGCTGGACACTTCACGTTCCACTCTACCTCCTCTGTGGCTATGTCACTGACTCTGAGCCCAAGAGTATCAAGGACTTGCCACACTGCTGGCCAACCAGGTCTCCACCTGGGTTCACAGGAGTCTATTGAACGTTGTAGGTCTTAGCTGGCAGCTTCATTGCTGTTTTTCCCTCACTTCCCCTTATTGGTGATGAACATGGTCACCAATCAGAGCGTGTATTCCCATTGAGTCTTAGTCTTGGAAGGGGGTTTGCTCTGAGGGGACCCGACCACTTGCTTTGATGTCTCCTGGGCGAACAACTTGCTTGTTCTTATAGTTCTTGTAGCTGGTCTGCCTATATTGTCTTGTATTTTTCCAGTTGTTCTTTCTTTCAAGAGGTATCTTCTGTTCTTCTAGTTGCTCTAGGCTGGTCTGCCCATCCTTTCAAGTGGAAATTTCCCACCTCTGAAGATTCTGGATGCTGTTCAGTATTCCACTTATAGTCTTAGGTAATGCAGAGGCTCCACAGGAAGCCTCCTTCACTGGGCACGTTGTAGCCCATTTTAGGTATTCCAATCAGTTATAAGCAGAAGACGGACTTACAAGCTTTCTATGGTGATATTTCTGGCTATTCCTTTCTCTACCCATCAAGTGTCTATTTTATAATGGTATGCAAGGGAAACCAAGATTCAAAAGACAGCCAAGCATCTTAACATTATTTCTCCCCTTTTCCCTATTCCAACCAAGTCTCAATCCCTGTATCCCAGAGCCCTGTTATTCCAAGGTTGTGCATACATCATTATTTACCTCTGTCCCACTTAGTCTATGCAAACCTGCCTAATTGTTCTCCCATCTGCTTTGTTCTTCCATTCCCCTCTCCCATCTTGTATATTGCCCCCCTCCCCAGCACCCAAACTATCCTGTGTGTATTCCCTGTCCTGTGTTTCACCTTCCCCTCCCTCTCCTCCTCCCACCCCCCACATCCCAGCAACCAGCAAAGAATCCTGCCCCTCCTTTAGTATGGGTTCTTTTTCTTAGTCTTTTACAGCGGCAGTCCTATGCAGTATTTCTCCTTTTGTGACTGACTAATTTCACTCAACATAATGTCCTCAAGGTTCATCCATGTTATGTGGTGGCTTGCGCTTCCTTGTTATTCTTCAAGGTAGCATAGTATTCCATTGTGTGTATGTACCACAGTTTGTTTATCCATTCTTCAGTTGATTGGCACTTTGGCTGTCTCCATCTTTTTGCTATTGTAAATAGTGCTGCTACGAACATTGGTGTGCATATATCTACTTGTGTTATGGCTTGTATTTCTTTTGGGTAAATACCAAGTAGACGAATTTCTGGATCATAAGGTATTTCTATTTCCAACTTTCTCAGGAAGCACCATATTGCTTTCCAGAGAGATTGGACCATTTTGCAGTCCCACCAGCAATGCAGGAGTGTCCCAGTCTCTCCACATCCCCGCCAGCATTTATTGTCCTCTGCTTTTTTGATCTTTGCTGTTATTGCTGGTGTGAGATGATATCTCACTGTTGTTTTGATTTGCATCTCTCTAATGGCTA